CGTTAAAGAAAATCCTGAAATACTTCGAAGTAATGTGAAAAGGATAATTGGTATTATTGTTGGGTTATTAAAGGATCGGGTTAGTGTAGATAGTTCCCCAACTAGCAAGAGGGCTAGGATCAAAAAGTATATTAAAACATAATATGTAGAGAAGGCTACGTCCCGAACCTTTGTATTTATTTTCGCATATATTAATAAAAAATTTTTCTTGGCAAATTTCAGCGAACTCGGTTCGCCCAAAATCACATATTTTTTATTTTAAATGTTTACGTACAGTGTATTAGTTATATATATAGATCATGTCATCCGAGCTTGAATTATCGAAACAGCGTATCACTGAACTTGAGGCTGAGAACGTAAATCTTAGAAGAAAGCTCTCGGTGTCTGATGCTGAAATAGCTGAACTTAAGCGCAGGAATAACGAGTTTCTAAGAGCAAATAAGGAATATAACGAGAGGCGTGATGCTGAAAATGCCAAACTCAGGGCCAGAATCGAGGAGTTGGAGAAAAACAAGGAAGATTCTTCAGCCGAGAATGTTAGGCGTGATGTTGAAATTGCTGAGATTAAGGCTGAAGTAGTGAAACTAGCCGAAGGCGCTCAGGCAAGAGACAATAGCGAAGAAAGCAAACAGTTAACTTCCCGTCAATCAGATGTTACTTCTAAAGAAATGATTTCAGGATATGATCAGAATACTATAGATGAGATAGAGCCTCAAAGCTCTGTTTCCTCGAATAATATTAATCTGGCATCGAAGTTAAATGAGAAGGAGGATGTGAGCGATCATGCTTTATCGCCTTCGGCTAAACCATCGGAGGAAAAAGAGACAGTCGCTTTCTTGAATGAGGAGCATAAGAAAAGGGTTAGTGAAGAGATTAGGCAAAGGAATAGAGAGAAAAAACTTCAGCGAAAAAACGAACAGGGTATGATTCAAGAAGTTAATTCATCCATGAAAGAAAAACACTTCCTCCCGGTTGTGACTGAAATTTCAGCGAACCAAGTTCGCCCAAATTCTTTAGCAGAGATAGATGAAGAGCGAGCGGTCCTCCCTATTATTAATCTATATGAAACTGCGCGCGGTGCGGAAAAGAAAGCAATCGAAGCTAATAGAGAAGAAACTTTGCGTTGGTGTTTCTATGCTAGAGAATTCAAGAGAATGTATAAAGATTTTATGGTCAGCAATAAAGTTGGGGAAAAGAAAGCGAAAGGGCAGGTATACGATTTTATTATCAAACAACTTCCCAATACTAAACGCAAAACTTTATGTAGGCAAACACAGAAAGCTTTGAGGATTGACGATTTATTCGAAAAAATAGGAATGGACAAGCTTCAATACATAAAAACATATAGTGCGGATACTATTTCGAAATTTACTGATCCTCAGATTCAAACAATTATAGATCACTTCACCGAAAAACCTAATATGGAATTCACTGATGAAGCCGAGGATGAAGAACAAGATGACGAGGTCCCAGAGGGATCCGATCAGAATAATGTATTGGAGGTCTTACTTCCAAAGGAATCAACTACATCTATTCCATTAGCCCATATCTCTAATTCTTCTGATAATTCCAAAGAAGCCAGCCCAGAGAAGTCGTCCAAAGCTGAAATGAATATATCATCAAAACCTATTATCAAGAAAACTCGAACGCTGATTCCTAGGACTGATCCAAATAAGATGGAATGTCTTTATCAATATGCCGTTGAACATGGTCTCGATCCAGAGAAATTTTCGATTGTTACGGAAGCTGAGAAGAAAAAATGGGACCGTGAACAGTTCCTAACTGCCTTGGAAAATGATAAGAAATTATATCGTAAAGTAATAGAGAGAAAGAGAGATGATCCCCTTATGATCGATCCTAGAAAATATTATCCATTTCTAACAGATCGCGATAGATTGATTGGTGAAGAGCTGATGCGACGTAGTATGATAGAGCGCCGTTTTAAAACTGGATGGTTCGATGATAATATAAAAAAATGGGAAGATACTCATACCCAGTTTATTGAAATCTTTGCCCGTTAGCTTTGCTAACGATATTATCTATCGAACTACGTCATGTGTGATCGATCACCTGGCCGAAGGCGCTAAGGCAAATGCGCAGAAGATGTTCGGTAGACTGAATCATCGTATAGGTTTATTTCTTTTTTTTCGAATCATGTGGGTGGCTTATGCAAAAGAAACTTCGTCATGTGGAATCGATCACCTGAAATGCGCAGAAGATACCGGAGCAGAATTAATAAAATATATCATGCGCAGTAAGTACGTCATCTCTATACTTCTCCCGTGATTTAGCTACGCCCTGTGCTATTTACGCAGTGCTCTTATTTTTAGATCTAGATGTGCTATTTTTGTAATAATGGCTAATATATGCTATTTTTGTAACAATGAAGCCAGGGCCAAGATCTCATGAAATACCGTCATATTTTTGCAAATTTATGGGGAAGTAGATCATGGGTCTAGATCAATGAATAATTAATCCGTAGACTTTTTTTTTCCGGAAAGTTCTGGCATTATACACATATTACGAATCTATGATTTAGCATTACGCGGATTAATCCGACGTCCCTGATGTTAGAATGAGATAAGAATTGGAATTGAGCGTCTTGATCTACCGATTTACAGATCTCGACCCCTTTTTTTCTCATATAGTTCGAAAAAAGAAATGTAATGCGAAGTAATACACTTTCAGAGTTTTGGAAAAATCGACTGTAGATGCATGATATACTATATCGGGTTTCCATTTGTAGTCGTGAAAAGATAACAGACATCTATAACCATATTAGGCTTTTCATTTGTCTATAACGCCAATCATGGAAATTGCAGATGTAGGATATACTATATCGGATTTTCCATTCGTCGTTCGCATACTCCTTATAAAGATAGCGCAAAATAGTACAAGATGTGAGTCATCGGCTAATTTTGAATTGTTGTAACATGTGCTTTTGATGATTAGTTCTTAGTTCTTATATATATAGGCGCGATTATTTTTTCTCTAAACCTCTATCTGCTATAAAATATATAAAATAGCAAATATGTCCACCCACGTGACATGTGATTATGTTATACCAGGGGGAAGGCATAGTAATGATCCATTGCAAATTCTTAACAACCCAAAAACAATAATTTCTGATGTGCACCTTACTACACCTACAGACCGCGTAAGTCTCGGGGCATTATCTAATCATGGCAAAGGCACTCTAGGTGCGGAAATCGGAACAGGAAAATGGGGAGCTAGAGTCAGTAGTTCTTTAAATAATAACGATTTTAAATACACACGTGGTGCGACGTCAGTACCGAAATTTGTTGCTGGAAGAATTATAATGGAGCATCCGAGTGGTAACACAGGTCGAGAATTCGCCAATTTGAGAGATAGTTTGAGAAACTGAAGCGCGTGCAGAAAAATTTTTTCTATCTTGCTTGTATTTTTATTATATATTTTAAAATGTTATTTTTAACACGAAATAATGGTGGGATTCTGTGGCGCGTTCTCAAAGTTTAGCACTTTTTTTATATTTTGTATTGTAAAGCATGATTATCATAAATTAACTAATAAAGTTTTGCGGTCCCATATCGGGCCTAGTGTTTTATCATGTGTAATGGTGCACCCGAAAAATAAATGTGATTCTGTATAATGCCATGTATAGCTAGATTCATGAGAAAAAAAAAGCCGATCATCTCGTGATTTATAGAAACTCGCCAGCTCCTGAAACTCTCCTAGAACTATCGAGAAACTGTCGAGGGAGCTAGGGTGATACATGTGATATGATATACGTCATGCCACAAACCGATTTAGCCAAGGCGCTGTGCATATGCATGTAAATATAAAATTAGCATAGCTCAAGATATGACCCTATATAAATCTTATAATCGAATAAAATGAATTTGTATTTTACTAGTATAAAAATGAATCTGATATTTATTAGAGTATAATATTCCTAAATCGGCTAAAATCGCTAAAAACAGTATAAATCAATAAAATCATTATATTCTGTTATAATCTAACAAAACGCTAATATGGATTTAGATAGTAGAACCTATTTTAAGCTAAATCATGTAAGCTATGGTGATGAAAACTTTGAAAAATATGGAAGAATAGTTGATGCAATATGGCCTTTAACAAAAAGACGTGATCATGAAACACCAGAAATGTGGTGCTCTCGTATCTGTGATCCATTTAGGAAAATACTTGAAGAGAATCCAAGAATCCTTTCTAAGAATGGATATATTGTAATGTGTGGAAAGCTTTATGAAAGTGGAAAAGTCCACACTGGTCATCCAACCGATTATATTTATTGTAGTGTATGTGACTCCTTAATTTTCATACCTGAAAATGGTTATAATGCTCGTATCTATCATGATAGCCACTTGAAGAGATGTATTTCTGGAAATACTATTTAGATGAACATGCGAGAAGAAAAGAAATTCTCCAATCTATTGATAGAAGGGAATTTCAGATCTGGCAATATAAACAATACATATTACAAGAAGAGACTAAAATTAATCGTCTTCGTCTAGAGCTTTTCTCTCAATCTACTTCACACTCAGAAAAGGATAAATTGGCATCGGTATTATATGATTCTGATTGTCGTTCAATTAGCTATGAAACATATGCGCAGGCAAAAGTGTCTATGGCAAAAAATACTATGCCAAGTGCTTTAAGTTTCGAGTCAGCTTGTATTTCACCTGTCAGGCAAGAAATAGTTTTGCCAATTTCACATCAATCATCGAATTGCAAAAGTGATACAGGCGAAATATTTATCTCGTCTCGGTATGCAAAACAAAATAACTTACTACCATCTATAAATAATCTTAATCAGCCCGCATTAAGATTGAGAAATGGGACAAAAATTACATTTGTTTAACTGACCGATTATGAGTAATATATTAATTATAGACTATTGCTCAACTGAAGATTAATATCATTTAGCTAAAGACGCAATGTATAACTTTATTTTTTTTGCGAAATGAATAGCTATATAATATGCATACATGATCGCCTAGTATAATTGTGAAATACTTCATATACCTGGCCAAGCACTATGCATGATCTGTCTATTCTGGGTTAGATCCTCTAATATATAACTATTTTAGTATTTCAGGAAGATCAATGAAGCGATCTTGGGGATTCTTGATTCCTAAATACTATTATAATTATGGCTTTGAAAATTTTTATGCAACAGTTATCCAACGAGCTTACAGGAATTACAAGAAGAGACCTGAATCTTCGGCAAAACGAGTTTGGGAGGCGGTGAGGAATGATGGTACTCCTGATAGAAAGAAATTCTTAGGCATACTTGGATATAATCAGATGGTAAAAAATCCTGAGACGCAAGAAGAGTATGCTATAGCTTGCAATGAGTTTTATGCTTTATTTAGAAAAAGTTACTCAAAATATATT